CCACTTTTTGTCCATTGTGGTTTAATCTCCGCTTACGGTCGCCGAGCTCTATGCTACTCCATAACGAACTCCAATACGAAATCACCATAACTGCGCCGACCACGTTGAAAGGTCCTAATGGCTAGAGGGGGGTGAATAGCCTAATAAAATTCTACAACAACACTTAACAAAATGTGTTAGACAATATTATGCTGAGCGAAGTGTTGCGCTAGCCTACTCAAAGATGCAAGCCACCTACCACAATTCTATTTCGAATAGCGTATATCCACACAATAGCTATGACACTTAGCTAAATTAGTGTGCTCTCAAAGACTAACTAAAGAGCAACACTAATCAAACAAGCAAGCTCTCACAACTAGCTACACTAAAGAGCTTGATAACTAGTTTATGTGAATGTAAGAGTGAGCAAGAGAGTTATACCGCATGCAGTAGTGGTAGGAACCAATCAATCACAATAATGAATACCAATGTATACCAATCACCTCGGAATCAAATGATGAACACAATGATTTTTACCGAGGTTCACTTGCTTTGCCGACAAGCTAGTCCTCGTTAGGCGATTCACTCACTTGGATGTTCACGCTACCGATTGGCATCACTCGCCAAACCCTCAATAGGGTGCCGCACAACCAACACAAGATGAGGATCACACAAGCCACAAGCAATTTACTAGAGTACCTTTTGGCGCTCCGCCGGGAAAGGTCAAGAACCCTCACAATCACCACGATCGAGTCGGAGACAATCACCTCCTCCACTCAACGATCCTTGCTGCTCCAAGCCGTCTAGGTGGCGGCAACCACCAAGAGTAACAAGCGAACCAAGAGTGAAACACAATCACCAAGTGCCTCTAGATGCAATCACTCAAGCAATGCACTTGGATTCACTCCCAATCTCACTATGATGATGAATCAATGATGTAGATGAGTGGGAGGGCTTTGGCTAGGCTCACAAGGTTGCTATGTCAATGAAAATGTGCAAGAGAGCTCCTTTGAGCCGACCATGGGGCTATAAATAGAGCCCCAATGAAATAGAGCCGTTGTACCCCTTCACTTTGGGCACAACGCTGGGTGACCGAACGCCTGGTCCGATCGATCGGCGACGGCTGGCCCTCGGCGTCCGGCCACGTGATTCACGCCACGTGTCCCCCGCTTCAAATGTTGTTCGTCGATTTCAGCGGTCATGAAGGCGACCGGACGCTTCCGAGAATCGGCCGGACGCCGAAGCCCCAGCCGTCCGGCGTTTCGAAGAAGCTCCCCGAGGCATGTTTTTTCGACCGGACGCGTCCGTCCACCTTGACCGGACGCAGAGACAATATCGTCCGTGCTCAACCCCTAGCCATCAGATTTCACCGAAGTCGGTATGACCGGATGCAAAACATCGGCGTCCGGTGATTCAGATTCAGCGTCCGGTCACAGGACCGACGCCAAAGATCATTTCGATCAACTCCATTTCAACTCTTACTTCTTCACCCTTGCTCAAGTGTGCCAACCACTAACTAATTTTGCATCCGGCGCAATAGAAAATAGACATTTCATTTTCCCGGAAGCGCAATCCCAAACCCATCTCAACCCCGCAAACACCTTGTGCACATGTGTTAGCATATTTTCACAAATATTTTCAAGGGTGTTAGCACTCCACTAGATCCTAAATGCATATGCAATGAGTTAGAGCATCTAGTGGCACTTTGATAACCGCATTTTCGATCTGAGTTTCACCCTCTTAATAGTACGGCTATCAATCCTAAATGTGATGACACTCTCTAAGTGTCTTGATCACTAAAACAAAATAGCTCCTATGGTTTATACCTTTGCCTTGAGCTTTTTGTTTTTCTCTTTCTTCTCTTCAAGTGTAAGCCCTTGATCATCTCCATGCTATCACCATTGTCATGTTATGATCTTCATTTGCTTCTCTACTTGAAGTGTGCTACCTATCTCATGATCACTTGATGAACTAGGTTAGCACTTAGGGTTTCATCAATTCACCAAAACCAAACTAGAGCTTTCACACGTTTCTCTAAATCTCCAACGTTTTCGCCGACCACATTTCTCCAAATCTCCAACATTTTCGCCGAACGCGTTTCTCCAAATCTCCAACGTTTTCGCCAACCACGTTTCTCCAAATCTCCAACGTTTTCGCCGAACGCGTTTCTCCAAATCTCTAATGTTTTCGCCGAACGAGTTTCTCTAAATTGCCGAACATGTTTTCTCCAAATCAATGAACACGTTTTCTCCAAATCGCCAAACACTTTTTCTCCAAATCGCTGAACATGTTTTCTCCAAATTGCCGAACTTTTTGCTCCAAATCTCCAAGATATTTCGCCGATCAGCGAGCAGCATACGTTCTGTTCTGTTCTCTTCGGAGAAGATCCAGTCTCTGATCTCTCCCTACACATGCCATGGGCTCCGCGCTCTACGTTATAGGTGGTTAGCTGCGGTTCCTTGGTCATGCCTATTCCTCCTACACGTCCATGGGCTCCGCGCTCGACGTTACAGACTATAGGCTAGCCAAGGCCGACAGCTCAGTAAAGAACTAATTGCTTGGACGCCACTTATACTATGTTTATCTCCAAGTTATTTCACCAACCACCGAGCAGCAAACGTTCCGCTCTGTGCTCTATGGAGAAGACCCAGTCTCTGATCTCTCCCTACACGTGCTACGGGCTCCACGCTCTGCGTTATGGGTGGTCGGCTGTGGTTCCTTGGTCACGTCTGCAACTCCTACACGTGCACGGGCTTCGCGCTCGACGTTATGGACTGTGGGCTAGCCGAGGCCATAGGGCTCAGTAGCGAGCTAACCACTCGGATGCTACTTATACTACGTATAATTGCGTTATGATTAAAACTACGAAGATTTTTTTCACCGAAATACCAGCAAACTACATACACATGCACCTTTTAACATTTATACATATACATAAATGTTTTTTGCGCTTTCACGCGTTCTAACTAAACTGTCCAGATATTACAGATGATAATCTCCGAGCAGATCACCGAGCTTCACCATCACCGCTCGTCTCACCAAATAGGTCGATGTCGCCGGCCAGCTTTTTCGCTGTGTCCTCGACCTCATCCTCCAGCTGCTGGGTTTCCGCCTCGCTCAGCCCTTCGGTGAATCCGGCCCCTATCGCCTGAAGGTCAATGGTTGGATAGTGGGACCGAACCATAGCAAGGGCATGAGTAGTGGTGGTAACAATGGCGTCGCGGTTGAAGCTCTTGAAGTTCTCCCACGCTGCCTTGCACCTCTGGATGATGGTGTCCGAACGTTGCCGCCTGCTGATGGACTGAGGAGCCGGTTCTAGGTCGACGCAGTCGAGCACCGGTTTAACTACGGCGACTACAGCGTTGAAGTTATCCCTTTGGGTCATAGCCTCCTACACCAGCACATCAAACTGTGCCTTGGTTTTATGATGGTAGCCTGCAAGCATTACAATGTTCCATCATACAAGGAAACTACTTCAACAGTAACTCCGACCAGGAAGTATTCACCTTTTAGCTCTTCGGCCAGTTTGTCTGCTCGCTCTGACTCCTTCGCCTTCTCCTCTCAGAGTTGTTCGAGGGCCTGGCGCAGCTAGCCGAGCTCCGCGTCGTGCTCTACAAGCACAACATCTCGCCGATATGACATACCTTTCTTCTGCTCGGAGACTTTCTACAGCTGCTCCAACTTCTTGGAAGCACCCATCAGTTGCTCGAAGACAGTGCCAGCTGCTCGGACTTGCTCCGTAGCTGCTCGGACGTGGTCGCCAGCCACTCGGATAGGATGCCCTTCTAGTACTCCAGGTCCCGCGCGTTGGACTCTGCAAGGTCTCGCTCACGCTGGGCCTTCTGGATGTTTCTCTCCATTAGGTTCATCGCCGCCTTGAGTTTTTCGTTCTCCTCGGTGAGGGGATCCATCCTCTTTATCAGCTGGTGCCGCTGCTCGGCAGTCCGAGTTATTCCCTGCAAATGCACAATGATAATGATGAACTCCAATCTGCAATGTCAAAGACAAGCACTTCTGATGCAATACTGACCTCGATTTGTTTTATCACCCCGCCAAGGGCGGACTTCAGTCTACTCATCTCCCTGGTGGTGTCCTCCTCCTCAACAACCACCACCTCGTCACCGTGCTTGTGGAGGATTCGGACAGATTGAGGTCGAGGTTCATCACGCTCGATCTCTTCCACCTCGTCCTCCTCCGCTGCAGCTGGAGGCACCACCTGGGAGCTCGGTGGCTTCACCTGGGGCTCGGTGGTCAGATGGCATGTCCGACCATGCCCTCCGATGCCTCAGGTAGCGCCGTCTGCTCCGCCGGCACCATAGGCCCCTCCGTGCAGAACGCTGGTGCAGCATCGGCAGCTCTAGCCTCTGCCCCTGAAGATCTGGCGGTTTCCGCCGTCGCATCCGACACCGTCGCTGACTTGTCAGCCAACCTCTTGCCGCCACCAAGTCCATCAGTAGCTGCGGTTGACTCCTCCATAGGCTGCCGAGCAACTGGGGACTCCGACATAGGGCCTACTGCACACCTTTTCTCTCGCCCGGGACCAGCCTTCAATTACTCGATAGTCCGGATGGGCGAGGCCGGATCCTCTCGCATGCTTTGCACCGCTTCAAGATCATCTCGCTGGTCACCAAACAAGTTA